CAACTGTCTTAAAAAAAAAAAAAGACTACTGACTCTGACCCTACAGGTCAACATGTCTTAAGCATGCTTGTTATTAGTGTTTTATCACATTAAACTATTCCACTGTGAAAAAAATGATAAAGAACATCTTAATGGTTGAAGGTGAGAAAAGGCTTTGGATTTAGATTAGCTGAGTTCAATTTCTGGCTCCACAATTTAGTATCTGAGGGTCTATGGGCAAGATTGGTCATTTCTCAATGCTCCAGTTTTCTAAATCTATAAAACGGTGACTCAAACAATGACTAAATGAGATACTTGTATTAGCACAAAGGAAGTGCTCAATAAATGTTAGCCATTATTACTTTTTATATACACTTAAAAAGAAGTCATACTCTCACACCCACTAGGATGGCTATTATCAAAAAAAAAAAAAAAAAAGGAAAAGAAAGAAAATAATGGAAACTGAAAGCTGAAAAAATGGAAACCTGTGCACTATTGATGGGACTGTAAAATGGTGTAACCAATAAGGAAAACAGCATAGTGGTTCTTAAAAAATTTAAATCCCACCATCCCATTTCTGGGAAAATATCCAAAAGAACTGAAAACAGGGTCTCAAAATATTTGCGTACTCATGTGTACAGCAGCACTATTCACAATAGCCAAGTAGAGGAAGCAACCCAAATGTCTGCCAATGGATGAAGACAAAAAAAAAATGTGGCGTATATATACGATGGAATATTACTCTTCCTGGAAGGAAATCCTGTCACACGCTACAACATGGATGAACCTTGAGGACTTTACACTAAGTGAAATAAGCCAGTCACAAAAAGACAAATACTGTATGATTCCTTATATGAGGTATCTAATATAGCCAAACTCATAGAAACAGAAAGCAGAATGGTGCTTACCAGAAGCCGGGGGTGGGGCAAAGGCAAGTAGTTGTTTAATGAGATGGAGTTTCAGTTTTGTAAGACGAAAATGTTCTGAAGATCTGTTTCACAACAGTATGAATTTACTTAACATTCCTGAATTTTACATTTAAAAATGTATAAGATGGTAAAGAAGTCATACTTTTTTTTTTTTCCTTTTTGTCTTTTTTCGTGTCCGGCAACGGATCGCAACCCTCAGTGTCGCGCCCGGACCGGACCGGACCGGACCAGCAACGGGATCGCAACCCTCAGTGTGGCGCCTGCACCTCGCTCAGCCAGTGAGCGGGAACCGGTCTGTATGTGGGATCCGAACCCTCGGCGGGAGCGCCACCGCGCTTCCCAAGCGGCGCACTGTAGCAGTGCGCCACCGGGCCGGCCCAGAAGTCATACTTTTAAAACCTATTATCTACAAATAAGGACACAGTAATGACCTTTACCACCTTTTTTTTTTCCTTTTTGTCTTTTTTCGTGACCAGTAACAGGATCGCAACCCTCAGTGTTGCGCCCGTACCGCGACCGGCAACAGGATCGCAACCCTCGGTGTCGTGCCCGCACCGCGCTCAACCAGTGAGCGGACCAGCCTCTATATGGGATCCGAACCCTCGGCGGGAGCGCCACCGCGCTCCCAAGCGCCGCACTCTACCGAGTGCGCCACCGGGCCGGCCCCCTTTACCACCTTTATAAAGACTAGAAACAAATAAAGACTATAGAAACAAATGAACTAAGAACTAAAAAACTAAATGAACAGCGTTATTACATTATCCATCTTCATTCTGAAATAAGTGCAGATCTAAAATAAAACATTGTATTAAAATAAGCTTACTATCTACTTCAGACAAAATATATAAATCACATGACTCAATTTACTCAAGTCTCTAAAGCCAGGCTCATCTTGAGCCCACATTTTTTTCCTGTGCATAAGGAAAGCAGATGAGTTCTCTGATCCCATAAGAAATACCTGCAAGGGTCTAGACTGGTATGAAATCTCTAAGGACTACCAGGGTCACCTAGGATCCCAGATACCTTAGAATTAGGAATGATCTAAAACCACCATGGACCTGAACACCTGGGCTCTGACTGTAATCAAACCACATCCAGTCTACTTCACAAAAATTTCAAATATGTGCTAAAAATGTGAATACAAGATCCAATATATTAAGTTTTCAAATGGCTCTCACCTAAATCAGGGAGTGAAACTAGATGTACTTTATGTCCCATTTACACAAAAATAATCACCAGATATGTTTTGGAAATAAATTTTAAACAAATACTCAGCTAATAGACTTTTTTTAGATATAACCTTAAATATTCAACTTTAAAGAAACAACTTATCAGCTGAAACAAAACTTAATAAAAGATTTTCTGCTTGCAATAATTTTAAATCTTCAAGCCATCCTTCAAGGATACTACCAAACATCAGAGCTAGAATAATGATTTCTATATATTATTGTAAATATTATCAATTATAAAATGCCCCATTATTTCATGTGTCACTAAGAATGCAAAAACACTGCTGATTAAAAATGACATACACCTGTTATAAAATACATCCCAAATTTAGATATTAAGATATTTAAGAATTGGTATCTTTAAAGAGATGTAATTCGCTACGTACATGTTTGTGCCTCTGAAAAACTCAAAGGCACCAGAAATCTACTCTGTATAATATTTCAATTACAGGGGTTGGGGGCGTGGGAGGAATCGATATTTCTATAACACCAAAACCCTAGTCAACACAAACTACCAGTTCAAAGAACCAATAAATAAATAATCAATGCGGATTCCAAGTCTGAAGACACTCAGCATCCCAAATAAATAATTATATAATTCCCTGTAGCCTAAGCAAAAGATTTCCAAACTAAGGAAGTCAAGAACCTAAGCACCAAATGACTTTCAAACAGAAGTAATCAAGACACATGTCTCCTTTAATTCAAAGGTCCACAAGTACCAGCTCAAAAGACAGAGTGCCACTACTGAATGAAAAAAGTTAATCCAGAAGTTTTCAGTACACACTAGGGATAAAATGGACTGCTTTAGCTTAGGGCAATTTAAAGGCTTAAAGTGCATTTTGACACTTTCAAAAACAATGGTAGAGATGCAAAGCAAGAAGAAAATGTTATCATCCTAAAAATTTTCAGACTGAGAAAAGTAATAAAATTTAATATATTAACCCAATTTCAGCAAACACAAGAATGCATTTATTAATTCAGTAGTGTCAATTAATTCAATTATGATAAAGAAACACTCAAAAACCTCTACTAAATTTACCTATTTAAAAACTCCTAAAATCTATCACTTTTCTTACACTAAAATCTGATACCACATCCTATAAAACATTAAAATATAAGTAAATCTAAATATCAAAGTAAATACACAACCTATGAAATTATATGGACAGATAAGATTCACAAATATAAACTTATTAGAAAATTATCAAAATTCAATTATGCATAAGAACAGATAAACACACTCAGAACAGGCAAAGCAGAATATGTCAAAAATGCCTCCAAAAATAGAAAATCCACCCCCAATCTAGGAATAAATATAAGTGTAGATTCTGTTTAGTTACTTCACTAACCATTTAATTTTCTTAAGTTACACCTTCACACACAGAATTGCAGTATATTTTTAAGTCATAGTCTATTTTCCTAAATAGCGACTCTACTAAATAAAACATTCATAGGTTTAATGTTGATCTAGAAAACGAAATAATTAAAAAACGATCTTTCCCTTCCTTTTTTGCTGCTTTTTTAGAGGAATCCAATTTCATCATCCACTTGAATCTTAAAGCCACAGAGCTTAAAAATTCAATGTAAAAACGTCCATGAATGTAAACAAAAGGGGCAAAATGTTGACAATTTCTGAAGATGGGTTACAGGTATATGGTAGTTCATTATACGTGATCTCTAAAAGTCTACAAAAATGTCAAATTTTACAAAATATTTCAGGTGTATCAAATGGTCTTAAAAATATTTAAGGTCAAGAGTTCGGATCCCCATACTGGCCAGCTGCCAAAAAAAAAAATCTTTAATTCTAAAACAAATTTAGCAGAGAACATCAATTTATCAATAAGTTATTTGACAGGGTACTCTGACTTGAAGATAGTCCTCAAATCACACCAACAATTACTTTATCAATAGACAGACATAAGGCCATATGAGCTTGGAAGTTACTGAGAAAATAAATGTAATGTCTTATTTTAAAATGTTATATAGTCAAAGATTAATTAAAAATTTTCATTCTTAGAACTGAAAGGGACAAATTTTCTAGTTCAGTGGTTTGCAAACTTTTCAAGGTACCTGGAGAATAAGGCCAGAGACAGATCACCTTGTTTTATAGAAAGAGGATTGTGTACAAAAGATTTTGTTTTAAAAAAGAATCTAGCTACTTTAGGAAAAAAAGCCCACTGTTCCAATCATCACCCACATTCTGTAGCTAATAGTGAGTGGCCCAGAAAAGGTTAAATGACTTGTATAAAATTATTCAATTAATGGCAGTATTGGGAATTGAATTCAGGACTCTTCCAGTTCTCCTTTCAAACAATGCACCACCTCAAATTTAAGTTACAGTTAAGAATAAAACTGTTTCATTTGTCTTGTCCATAAAATAAGGTTATCAGACAAGATCATCTCTAAGATAATTTTCCAGATCTAAAACTGTGACTCCATGAATGCCAAGTTTAAACAGAGGGAATGAATGTCCTTAAACATAGCAGAACCCTTCAAACATTTTGCAGGATTTCAGAGAAATACAAGTCATACGTAAAACAAACAGTAATTCAGTCATTACATTTTGGGTCCTGAAACATTTTTGCAACTTCTCCATCTTTTAACAGTTAATGCCAAGATATGAAACACTGTTCTCAAAGACCACTAAAATAATCGTACTGAAAGTTTTTTTGGTTGTAAGATATTTTTGGAAAGGATATTGGGCTAACTATGAAAAACATACAACTCACTGAAGATGTTCCAGTTCCTGAATGTCTCGTAGAGAATTAAGTACATCATTCTCTTAAGTTTAAAATAATTGAATTCAGAGGAACATTAGGCTTAGCTGACATATAATAGACACAAATAAAGTTTTAATTCCCACCTATTAGAGCCTGAAACAGATTGCTCTGAAATATGTTAATAACCCGTTCTATGGAACTTCTGAGCTGTCTGTCTTCAGTTTGGCTTAATTTCGAACGATATTCTTCTAAAAGGTGCAACGCTCTCTGGGTATCTGAGAAGAAAAGAAGAGCCTGATTAAAATACTAGTGCAAATGATTCTGCAAGATATCTAGACAGTTCCCCATATCCTGCAGGTCAATCGATGTGACTACGTTCATGTACACACACTCCCTAGAAAGATCAAAAAATATTGTATACATATTATATCACAGTAGAAAAAGGAAGAAGGTGAGCAATTTGTAATAAATGTGCACCGGTAGTCGGTCACAGTTAAAGATCATCTGGTCAAAGTATTAGCAACACAGTTTCAGATTAACTGATATGCAAAAGCTGATTATCCACAATTTGTCACCATAATCCAAATTTTAAGAGTTTCAAAATACTAGTTCTTATTATCCCACAATTGCTCACAAAACAGTGTTTAGTAAAAACGATAAAGTGAAATACTAAAACACCAATTCAGAGTTTTTAAAAAGATGTTTCAGGGAGAAAATTAGTTTCCTCTCTAGTCACTAGAGAAATATCAAGAAATAAAGTTTAACATTTAGGTATTTCCATCTTGTGAAATGATATGAGGATTGGATTCCCTAAGCAAAAAAGCTAGGTCCGTGCCGTCTCATCAAATTTACACAAACATTTTTAAAAGTTACCACAAAACTGACATACGGATAGCAAGTGACATCCACAAGAGAGCTCTGAAATACATTCACCTTGTTTCCGGACCGGCATTTTTCTCTAGAATCGGGAAGACGGCACACACCTTTAAAAACAAAACAGAAAGAAAAAAGAATTAATGAAAAGAATAGAACTGTGGTTAAACTAGCATTTCCCCCTAAATCTCGAATGGAAAAACTCCCAGCCCTATTTAAAAAGCCGACCTTCCAAAGTTTTCCCAGCAGTGTCAGTCAACGAAAGCTTTTTCCTAGGGGTGGATACCCCCGCAAATTAACAGCAGACAGACTTCTGCTTCCAAATTCTCCTTGAAAGCTTCCCTCTCCCCAAAGAGCACTAAATGCCTAGACGGGAGACCTCTCCCCCAGCATAACTATCCTTACTCCACACCTGCTAGCGGGGGCGGGTGGGTGAAGAGGCGCTCCGACCCTTGGCCCCTGACCCAACAGCAGCCGTAGAGTGCCCTGAGAAGGGACCAGCTGGGCTGGTCACCCCGCCCTGCTCGGGCCCCCTCCTCTCGCTTGCCTTTCTCCTTGCTGGCTTCCTCCGGGCTACTGCAGCGGGGGCCGGACACAGCAACGGCCGCTCTCTGCGACGCCCTCGCGCCCCACATGCACACCTCCGCGGGCCCCACACCTGCGGCGCCGCCACAAAGTTCCTGCGAGTGGCGTGCGCTCGGAGCCGGGGTGCGCTCCGACCCGACTCAGAGCAGCTCCCCCGCCCTGCCCCGCTCCACGTACCCCCGCCCCGCCCGGGGCTCGAGGAGCTGAGCTGAGGGGGTGAGGGGACGGAGGAGGAGCTCCCCTCGGCGGCCGCACCCCCGCTGCCCCTTCCTCGTCCTCGGCCGCCGCCTCCTCACTCACCGCGGTCGGCTAGCCCGCTCGCCCTCTCGCCTGCTGTACGGCCCAGGCGG